CTATCGGGTTGAGGTCAGGACTCTGTGCAGGCCAGTCAAGTTCTTGCACACCAGACTTGCTCATCCATGTCTTTATGGACCTTGCTTTGTGCACTGGTGCGCAGTCATGTTGGAACAGGAAGAGGCCATCCCCAAACTGTTCCCACAAACTGGGGAGCATGAAATCGTCCAAAATCTCTTGGTATGCTAAAGCATTAAGAGTTCCTGTCATTGGAACTAAGGGGCCGAGCCCAACTCCTGAAAAACAACCTCACACCATAATCCCCCCTCCACCAAACCTTACACTTGGCACAATGCAGTCAGACAAGTACCGTTCTCCTGGCAATCACCAAACCCAGACTCGTCCATCGGATTGCCAGACGGAGAAGTGTGATTCATCACTCCAGAGAACACGTCTCCACTGCTCTAGAGTCCAGTGGGCGGCGTGCTGTACACCACTGCATTGCGCTTGGTGATGTAAGGCTTGGGTGCAGCTGCTCGGCCATGGAAACCCATTCCATGAAGTTCTCTACGCACTGTTCTTGAGCTAATCTGGGTCTGTAGCGATTGACTCTGCAGAAAGTTGGCGACCTCTGCGCACTATGCGCCTCAGCATCTGCTGACCCTGCTCTGTCATTTTATGTGGCCGACCACTTCGTGGCTGAGTTGCTGTCGTTCCCAATCTCTTCCACTTTGTTATAATACCACCGACACTTGACTGTGGAATATTTAGTAGCGAAGAAATTTCACGACTGGACTTGTTGCACAGGTGGCATCCTATCACAGTACCACTCTGGAATTCACTGCGCTCCTGAGAGCGACCCATTCTTTCACAAATGTTTGTAGAAGCAGTCTGCATGCCTAGGTGCTTGGTTTTATATACCTGTGGCCATGGAAGTGATTGGAACACCTGAATTCAATGATTTGGATGGGTGAGTAAATACTTTTGGCAATATAGTGTATGTATGCAAAAGGTAAGCAAATTAACTATTGACTAACAAATAAAGAAAATTTCTATAGTTTAATTGAAGAAGTAGGTTCATCATTTAAGTTGATGAACGCTTTTGAATTGTCTACATGAGGTAGACTATTGTCTACAGACAGGCCTGCTAAAAGCATGCAACTAAAAACAGACATGTTCAGCGTAACTTGTCAAGAAGATGACAGCACGACTACAACAAATGTATCACCATTTAAAGCAAACATCCGGAAGCAACAACACAGAAAACTACTTTGTTCATGTTCTCAGAAAGAAAGTGTGATGCACAGTGATGTGAGCGAATCACACATAGGAGTGTAAAATTCTAGAGAAGGACGTGGTGGACGGTGACAGCTTTCAAGATCTGCTGAGGTACACTCCATGACCCCACTGACCCCAAGCTTACCTTGGTCATGGCACTAATGTTGATTTTATTTGGCTAGTAATGAGTGGTGAATACAATTTTAGAACTTTAGAGAACTTTAGAGTATAGAACTTCCAGTAGTCCATCACTAAACAACTTTTTTAGCCATATAATCATGAATGTATAGTCATCAGTTACTCAAAACCAGGTGAGGTTAATATGGTGTCATATTCTGACACAGACAAAATGCACCAATAGTTACATTTAAAAACTGCCATTAAAAACTGAGTACAATCATTTTTATCAGGAATGTCAAATACTGCACTGAACTAAATCCAATTATGTTGAACTAATTATGTTCTCTGTTCTAAAACATGCAGTTGTTCAGTGTTCTTTAAGTACTGACAACACCCACGATAAGCTGAGAAAAGCAAATTGTTGATCATGATACCAACATTTATCACAATAATGACAAATATTGTCATATTGACCACCTCTAGACTGCATCCCTGATTTTAGGTATGCTGGTTAACTGGTTAATTGCCAACTAATGGTGTCAGTTATTGGTCAAACTTTGCTTCTCTAGTTAAAACTATGATAGAGATGTTCTCTATGGCGTAGAACATGAGTAATAAGAGTGCGGTTAGCAATCTCCTCCGTGTATGTTCAGCAGTACTGTGGCTGGTGGCTCAAAATGTGGCAAGCAGATTTAAAGGAAGCACATGAAGCCCTCATCCTTGTGGATTAGTGTTAAAGCCACTCTACTGTTTTAACAGAGAAATCACACTCATTTAAATAGAAATGTTCACATTTAAGAGTTTTACATTACACACTTCTGGAGGGAAAATATGTAGTCAATTCTGACACCTGAATTTACATCACTGACCAAGAGTCCAACTGCTTTGATTATGTTGGATTTTATATAATTCTTCCCAACTCAACTATAAATGAATACATAAAAGAGAAGTAACATTGTCTGTAGTTAGTCAGCAGCTGGTGTGCCTACCAAAATAGTTTAGGTCTATGTCTTTCGGCAAATGTCTTTAGAGAGAGACAAGGATTAAGGAAAAAAAACAACCAACCAAACGCAATTCAGGAATTTGTCATTTTAACACTTTATAAGACCTGCCTGGGTTCCTGTCTCCTGGCAGCATGCTTTAGTACTACTCCAACAGTCAGTCACCGCTTACATTCAGCCTTGAAATCACAAGCTACCACAGCCAGGATTTTGGTACAGAAAGCCTGAAAGTAGCAGCTCCAGACTATTTACAGATGAACAAAGGGCCTTCCAACACTTTGGAATCCAGGGCAGTTTAAAATCCCATTAAGAGCCCAATAAGAACTGACACTATTACGCTGAGAGAACATCAATGCATTGCCATGGTCTACACTATGACCATGCCTGCTGAACTGGCCTTTTTGAGGTAAAGAGCCCGTCCCAGAGCTTCTAGGAAACCGTTTTGTTAACTGCAGTGGTCGTCGGTGAGCATTTTGCTAGTGCTTTAGTGCTGATTCAGCAGGAGCCGTCTGGCCAGGCCAGAGATGGTGTGCAGGGCCGTGCGTCAGCACATTCTCCCTCCCATGGTGGGAAAGAGGGGTATGGGGACAGAAGTGGACACGAGTGTGCTATTCACAGCCTTCTGTTCAAATGCTGTGGGACTTTATAAGGGTCCAGTGCATAGGAACATGCATGACATGCCATGAATGTCATTACTGTAAGCGCTAAGTCCAAAAGTTCAAGTCTTGTTTTGTGATGACCCAATCATTTCCTACAGTAAGATCCAACTGATACAAAGGCAGTGGTGGCAGAGAAGCTGCAAGTATTTTAAACATGAATAACTCATCTTTCAGTATGTATGGTAGTAAAAGATAATCCTAAGCAAATCGGTCACATAAGTCATGGGTTCATGATGGGTTCAAAGCTGCAGCTTGATATGCTAAATCAGGACACCCACTCACTACAGAGACATCCATCATTCAGTAATGCAGACGATATGCAGCCAGTGACAGCCGTGTGCAGCCAAGACCAGAATAATCAAACTGAGATTAGCACTGGCCTGCAGCAGCTGAGTCAGCTTGCTGCTCCTCATCATACAATCAATGCGAACGAACATTTATTGCTGTCCAAGTCAAGTGTCCCAGGGGGCTTGCTACTTCAGCCACTGCCTGTCTTTTTAGAGTGACATACTGATTCCCCCAACTAGAACACCCCCAAAGAAGAACAAGCAGTGAGGGAATGTCACAGGAAGGTCATGTTGGTGGAGGAATGAAGGACACTTTCCTGTCATGTGTCTGGACCCTCTGCTGACCAGGTCGTCAGTCACTACTAATCAGTCTCAATCCATCGATGTAACGATTTGTCCACAATAATGAACATGAATTTTTCATAACAGAAGATTTACATCAAAAGATTTATCATATGTCCTGAAAAGGGACTTGATTCACTGGTGCATATTTATTTTTTTACATCATTATTTATACAAAGTACTTCTAAGTGCTTCTTGGTCTTTATCAAGGCCACTGTGTACAGGTGGAAGTCAAGGGGAGCAGTGAGAGGTTAAGCATCTTGGATAAGCGGCTTAGAAAATGTGTGTGTTTTTCTATTTTAAATTATAGCAAGGAAATTCCTTCCCAAAGGCTTTAATATGTCAGAGAACTGCAACAGTTTAATAGCATTAACCTTTGGGATATTATGTGAACTACTCAGAGTATTTTAACACTAAACATGAAAAATTCACTATTTTCCTGTTAGGCAGTATTCTAGCTAAGGTAGCTTTGGTTGCCTGTGCTCCTCTGCCTGGCAGGGAAGAAAGTATAAAGCGATGACATACAAACAAATAGTACCACATAGGAACACATCAGGCCCAAGATTCAATTTAATTCATGATATTGGGCTCACTATTCCGTATTCTTGTAATATTTTGAACAAAATTTGAATGAATAAAAATAATGACCATAATCATGTTGTTACACAACTTACTAATGGCACTAAAGCTGGGGGAGTGCTGGAGTAAGTTGCTGAACTTCTTTTTCACCAAGAAATGAGGAAAAGAAAGAAAAAAATGCTGAGAAAACTAGAAAAATACGCATACATGGAATATTGATTTAATCCACCAAACACTAAATAAAAACACTCTGGACTAATTGGCCACTACATAGCAGTCAGTAGCCTTGGTCTAGAACAATGGCATTAAAGATTAATCAGTGACAGTATCTGGAGGACTCCAAATAAGGGTTTGAACATGAAAGCTGAGCCAGACGGAAGAGGAGAACATACTTTAATACAGAGGTCAGAGGTGTAATCATCTAATCCAATAAATAATTAACCAAGGTCACCTTTAATGGCAGAGGCATGCAGTGTGACATATATTATTCATACAGAGTGCATCAAGTATCAAGTTGAGGGGCTTAGAGGAAGACTTGAGGGAGAGTCTAGGATGATGGATAGGCATAATAGAGCCATGTAGAGAGAATGAGGAGCAGAGACTGGACCCTCAAGCCATCTATACTTATTTCATTCCATCTTAATATAAACTGCTCATTCATATGAATGGAATGTGCTGTGTAAATATGAACAGGTCACTGAGGATACTAGCAATGATTCAGACATAGCCATTTGTCCCTGACTGTGGAAAACATAGTTGCGTAGGGACGGCTGAGAGGAGAGCATGAACTCACAGGAATTTATTCACGAGCCAGAGCAGGCGTTCAGTCCCCACGTGGCAGAAGGGGATTTCCTAGATTCCACTTGCTCCCTTTACGCACACTCAGCTAGGTAAGTGATGCAATGGCAGGCAATCCAGAAGGATGGAGTCTACCCATGCCGACGCATCTGGAGAAAAGGACAAAGTTCTGGCTCTGTCAACACCCTAATCCAGCCAAATCACAGTCTTCTGTTCCCTCAATCACTGTTTATGGCATCAACATCATTTATGAAGTTGCATCACATGGATGTAACATCACTTGTTCCATAAAAGTACATTTGTCTGAAAACATCCATAACAACTTGTACAGTAATATATATTACCTGAATGAAGGAATTAATGAATGAATAAATACATAAAGTAAATTAATTAGTAAGCATCCTATTTATCAGTCCAGTAAGCATATATTTTCTTGAAACACTCTAGTGTTCTACAAACTAGCTCACAAGATATCAACTACTTTAATAAATAAATAAATGGGCTTGTTACTTTTTACTGTAATTATAAATTGCTTACTGTACAGATATATCGTGATTTTACAAGGAAAAACACACTTTCCACTTATTGCCTGGTTTTAAAATTATGCTTAGATGTCTAAGACTGCCTATATATGTGTGTGTGTGTGTGTATAATATATATAAATATATATTAGTTTGAAATACAAAAAAAAAACGAACAGATGCAGCCTGTGTTCTCTTTTAGCTAAGCCCTCAAGCAAACAGATTGGACGAGACACCCCATTTATGCACTTTTTCCACTTATGCAACTTATGATCCATTCATAACAATCAATAGATGATTGTTTTAAATAAAAGAACTAATTAGAGGCACAACATTTTTGGACTTTACACACAAAAGGATCATACTAATAATAACTGGTACAAATGAATCGGCTTTTGTTTTTCTAGCCTATAAATTTGTATTAGTCATGATGGGACATTTAATCACTAGGCCTTCTGCCTCTCAGCTGCTGACTGAGCTAACCCAACAGATGTGGATGACAGTAGTTACATCACAGGCTACTTTCAGAACTCCAGCCTTGTGTTATGAAATACAGCAGGCCATAAATGGCTGCTTAATTTAACTTTTTCACCATGTCTCTCTTCTTGTTTATGGGACTGGGTCTAATAGCAGCTCTCTAGTCTAATCTCTTCATCACGTGGCCACTTCACTTTCAAAAACGCTAAACATTCCACCTGTTTCAGCCCTGGCCAAATTTGGTCCGTCATTCAACTTCAAACGGCTTGCACTTTTTGAACTTGCGACCAAATATTTGCCGACATCGGGGTGCCTGTGCGTCCTTTGCAGTGTGTTTGCTTGCCAGTTTCCACTTAACTGGCTTTTCTCAGAACGTCAGGACACGTGTGCCTGGCCTACTGCCCTCAGATAAGGACCAGAGACAGACAGAGAGAGGGAGAGAGTGGGAGAGGGGGAGAGAAAAACAAGGGAAGGACTAAAAGGACCATGTTGGAAACTTGAGGCCATAGGGGCCGAGTGGGCTCCCGCACAGTGTAAACAAGTTTACACTCTCAATAATGACCACTGCACACACTGCTCAAAGAGTATATATGTAGCCAACATAGGCAGCTGGTGTTTTCAAATGGAATTTCACATAAAAAGTTACAAGGTTTACAGGGTTTTGATATGAATGCTGCAATACGCACACATGCTGGACTAAAACCTCCAAAGAACACATTTAGATGTCCAGGTGTACAGCAACGCACCAGTGAGCTGCGGGTTCCTTGAGACCACCACCTCTGGGCAAGGGTGCGGAGTCTATGCCATAGAATATCAGTTGCAGGACCACTCAGTGACAGTGGCTTAAGGGAGAGAGAATAAGAAAGAGAGGCATTTAGGAGATACATTCAACAAATGAGCATTCACAGCTTGAATGGCACCAGTAAGCCTCGTTTTTCCTTAAAGGTAAATGTAGATTCATAATATTGCTGTTGCAATAAAATCTTATCTTAGAAGGGAGGGAAAAAAAAAAACAAAAAAAAAACATTTTTATTACGTTAATAAATAATGGAACAAGATTTGGTCATTTTGGAATATTTCTGTTTCTCCACTCTTCATAAAATTCTCTCTCAATGTAAAGTGCAAATGGCACTTTCAAATTCTATAGAAGAAAAAAAAAACAAAAAAAAACACACAAAATAAAAAACAACAGAAATGGAGACACAAGGTTTTGTACCAACAGCACCTGCATTTAAATGCAACATTTTCATGGCTACATGCAGCCATTTGTTGCGTACCGCTATGAGACAGGGACCAAAATTTTGTTTTTTTGGACAATTGTCCTATAATGCATGCTATATTCTGTGATAATGACATGTTGAGAAGTCACCAAAAGCCTGTTAAATAGAGAATCAAAAGAAATGCATGAATATACATGCACAGCCTTTCCTCCAGTCTGTGTGCCATGTTGTTTTAGCAATGAAAGCAAATGGATACAGGAAGACAGACAGATGTCCACACGTTTATTCCTCAGTTATACTGCATGCTAGTTTGTTTACAAATCATAAAAGCACCATGTCTCCAAGGACTTATGGTCTCTAGTATTGTGGTCATGTGATCATGTGATACATGAGGAAAGAGGATTACAGTGGGGATCCACTGACAACACTGTCTAGCCAGATTGTGTGTAGCCTCTGATGAACCTCCTCCTCCTCCTCATTATTTGAGCAGCCTTGCTATCCCATCATCCTCTCGGTCTCACATTAATCTAGGCAGAACCATCTCAATCCCAGACACCTACTGCACAGCAATTCAATTAACCTGGGCTTTACCCAAGCTGCCCCGAAACATTCCCTGGTCTTCTTAAAGCCCTGTTATTACACTTAATGAAACCATTTCACTAATATCCAGATCCCAGTTTTCATCATTCAAACATATGGGCCTAACTGGGGTTACATTATAATATTATAAACTCTGAAACATGATTAAACACATACATTAACACGTCAGAACATCTGCGCCAAATCAGCCTGCTGGGGGCATGTGGTTATGTTTGGATAAATTCTCTTCCACCAGTCGCTGTTCCTGGATGCCAGCTGCCTCCCGTTCTGTGGAATTTGGAGAATGTCCAGTTTACTCCAGGTCCTTCGGTCATCTCAGGTGAGGTCATACCGCTCTGCATGCCAGGAACTGCTTCCAGGTTGAGGACTCCTGTTACGTACTTTGGCTTTTGATACTGTCCAGCCAAAGACTTTTCATGCTCTCTGTGAGTCAGACTGACCACAGGCTGGGTTCTTATCAAAGTGACTGGCAACTTCATGGTATGATGCTTATGGCATGTGAGGTACAGGTAGCATCAGGGCTCTAGAAAACAAGCGACAGAGTTTATGACTTAAAAGTACAATGTGACAAGTACACCAGGAACATATTTGAGCAACACTGATCCTTCCCGGCTTAAAGGGGAAAATCAATCCAGAATGTGAATGCTTGAGCTTTAAACACAATCAGACAGAAGCCTGAGGGTATATTCTTTTGGTACAAGTGATTTGTCCAACAAAAATTGTAATGACTCAATAAATGACGTTTTTACCGGATCTCATCATGGTTTGTACTCTCCAAGACCCTAAAAAGTCAATAGAGCTAAAATCAATAGCCAACCCCCAGTTCATGACCAAATAGCGAGTTTTTTTTTCCCTCTATTACAAGTAAGTGCGCATTGCACTTTCAATTGTAAAAGTAGCCGAAAATGTAAAACACTTTAAACGTCTTGCCAAGAGCCTGCTAGTCTTTGCCAGGGCTGACTGTTGTCCATATTAAGCATAAGGCTAATAAGTATGATGGCTAAAACTAAATATGATCCTCTTTCTATTTGTCACTGACAGTGCCCCGTCTGCACACACATACTTTCAATCCAACCCCTCAAAAATACAGAAAGGGTGGGAACCAGCACTAATCGAGGTTGGATATACACTTTAATATTAAATTGTGGTATTCAGCAGTAAAAAACAGCTAAATAAAGCAGTAAGCCACAACAGCCTGTGCATTAGAGTTATTTTAAGTTGTTTTACCATGGTTACAAGGTGCTGTCAGGTATCATAAGAAACTGAATTATAAAACAGTGACAAAACAATATGATATCACAGATGAACAGGCCCATATAATAAAGTTATCGGCCTCTGGGCACAACTGTTTGGCCGGCTCCAACTTGGTTACCTTTTTTTGGTGATTTTTTTCCCCCAAATCGAGACAGAACAATAGCAGGATTAAGCACACGTTAACGAGAGCACAGGTTTACATAAACCCAACAACCAATGCCAGATTTCTCTATACAGCATGAGGCCGCTCTTCAGAAGCAAAACATTTCAGATGGCACATTAAGATGACAAAATACATAATAAAGAAGGAAGCATAAAACTTAAAAACCCAAACCATCAAGCACCCTAAGCTGCTATTTCCCACCACGAGTCAAAACAGCTGTTTAGATTTTCTCATAATTGGAGGACCCCTTAAGGCTACAGGTGCCCTTGGCAAGCCAGCGGGGACTTTCCTTTCTGCTTCTGTTGTTTTGCTGTATTCTGCGCATTGAGTGGGATGTTGTGTTTTCAAGTGGTATGATACCTGTAGTAAAGAGGTTCTTGGGTGTTGTATCCACTCAAACTTGAACAGAGACATAAACAGAGATTATAAATTACTAGAGACTCATAGAAACTGTGAAAGAGTCCCACATGCCTGACATCTTCACTGTAGATTAGCTGCTGCTCAAACTGTTTGAAAGTGTCTGCACTGACCAGCACAGATGATGAAAAGAAACTGCATTTTCAATCACTCTCTCATTTTCATTATCATTAAAAATACCTGTGAAGTCTTCGATTTTTACACTTTGCTGTAGGCTTTTATTTTCATTCAAACTTCCTGGCTGTTTTTTCCCCATTTTTTAATGCATCCCTACACAATGCAGTTCATTAATAAGTACGCTATGATGGCAACATAATTGTTAAAGATTATTATATAAAGAGCATGGTTTTAACAGACTGGTATATTATTAATTAATTTGCTATCTATTTTACAACAGCTCCAAACACAGCTCAGCCAATCAGATTTTAGAACTGGTAAAAATCTTTTAATCTTTTAAGAAGACACATACAACTAAGTGCAAACTAGTGCTAAAAGACTACAGGTCATGGAAACTAACGAACTCTCTGGTGAAAGAGACTTGTTACTCACTTTCAAATGTACACACTGGAAATAAGACGCCTTGACTGTAAAATGACCAGAAAGATGAGCTGAAGAGCAGTGTGATCACCATGCAAGAGTGTGAGCTTTTATCTGACTATGTGAATTCCACCAACTTCCTGATTGAGCTCCACTCATCAGCTACATGAATGAAGACTGGACTGATGCCAACACAGAATTACCACAGCTCTTCTACAATGTGCTTTACTCCGCCTCAGTGCCTTCTCTCTTCTTTAATTCACCCACTCCATTTCGCTCACTGTGTTTGCCAACAGCACACTCTCCACACTTCAGAAAGCTCAGTTCTAAACAATTTAGTTCAAGGAAGATGTAATTCAGTTGTCCACTACAGGACTGCATTGGCTACGATTCTGCTCCCAGAGTACCTTCTCATTTACCAACCACTTCAAGGTCTCACACAACTGAGCAGCTAGAATGGACCACCTTACGTTCAACCACTTCAGTCTACATGATCTGATGTTCACTAAGGAAATGTGGTTGAAGAGATGAGCAAAGCAATTAGTAAAGAAAAAGTCCCACACAGACATTAAAGCAGGTGACACATTCCACAATTGGGAATAGTACTCAGACAATAAGAGGTTCCACGATGACCTACTTTTCCATGGCCATATAGCCCATTCTTCATGCTCACTCCTATTTTTCAGTCCATAGGATCTCCACTTCCAGTTGCAGGAAGCCAAATGGACTAAAATCTGTGAAGCACCCACTCAGAGAACCACTGTGACCATCAAGCAAATAATACAGTAAATCTCATACACACATCTGAGCTATGCATGCACCACCCACAAATGTGTTCTATCCTAGTAATTAATTTAATTTGGAGTTTAGAGATACTGCATAACGTTGAGCTTCCTGTTTAAAATGATCTGTTCCAAGCTGAACTATGCTGCAGTAGCTAATGCCACCTTAGGTCTGTAAAAATCATTGAACCTCAATTAGTGACTTGACTTTGGCATTGCAGTGCTGCCTAGTGCTGAAACATGTCACCAACAGGGCACATTCCCAAAAGAAGTGTCCCTACATTGAGCCAATCAAACCCATTCTTTGTATACAAATTGCTTGACTGGATACAAGAAGCAGTTAAAATCTGAAAGGAATCGCTAACATATAAAAATACTTACATTTTGGGACCTTTTGTGTCCAGGAATGAAATTCACTTTTTCCTGGACAACCAAAATCCAAGACGATCCAGGAAAAGCCTGGACTAGTGGCAACACTAACAGGGAGTGAAGCTAAGTAAAGGAGCCTTAACTTGGTAATGAAACAATGGATTTAGCCCTGAAAGAAATGTGCTCCTTTGAAGTGTGTTTGTGCGCTTGTCTGACCTTATAGAGTCAGACAGAGATTCCATGCTGAACAGTTTAAACGTCTGGCAAGGGAATAAAACCTCAAACATATAATACCTTTAAAATTCTGATTTGTACAAACACAGCTTCTCTGCATTAGCAATTCAAATCTGTGATGGGGGAAGGGTTGGACGTGGAAGCTGAGTGAGAGAAAATTAACGTCACTCTTAATAGTAGGGTTGCATGTTATGGACTAAACAGCATTCTGGGCTTATATAGCTGCATTCTGCAATTGCAGTACAACTTTTAATACAATAAAAACTACACTGGCAAACTATTAATGTGTCATGGATGAAGATTAGCTTGCATTATTTTGACTAAATACACAAATGTTGGTGTGCATAACTGACAAATGCCTTAAATCATCCACACAACCACAAAAATCCTAGATCTGTGGGAAGTGATCACAATTAATGAGTTTGAGTTATTAGTTAGCGCTACTTACATACTAAGCAAAGAGCGTTACTCCAATAACAATTAAACCATATATTGAGCAGCCCTAGTGAACCTTGTGTGCCAAACTAGTGCTTTCACCGAAATCTCCTAAGACTAACACTCATCTACTACTGACCACAGCATCTGACAGAGAAAACTGCTGGTATCTCCAGAACGAGGGTTCAGGGGAGGGTTTTGCACTGTAACTGATGCTGTTGATCTAGCTGGCGTCATTTCGGAGTTTGAAACCATAATCCTCTGCTATGTGCTAATCGCAGTGTCGATCTGAGACACTCCACTGGCCCGCAATATTTCATCACTCATTACCGAGCATCCTCGGCACGGCGCGCCAGACTCATGCTCTTCCAGCTGTGGCGCACGCACGGAGTTTCCCAGTTAAACGCAGGAGAGACTTCCCTGGAGAACATTTCTAAAATCAGTCAGCCAAAGTTTGTGTTGGGCGGCGATGCAAAGGATCACAGCAGATGAAAGAAGTTAAGATGAATTTGGTGGCTTAGGAAGCTTCAGATACAGGTAGTAATATATGCCGCTTTGTCTGAGATGTACAATAAATATATACGACTGCTATAATATTGGAGTCTCTGGCCTCAGACCAATATTAAAGATCTGCCAGATTTAAACATATATATGTAAGTATAAATTACAGTCTACTGTGCATAATCCTTCAAATTTTCGTTTGAGCTTTAGTACATCTTATTGCATCTTGGAAATGTGCATACACACAGTTCCCTCGTTATCTCATCCATGTCTGGATTTGTGGCTGTTGTCATGACAACAGCCAGAGAGAGAGAGAGCAAGAGAGAGAGCGAGAGAGAGAGAGAGCGAGAGAGAAAGAAAGAGAGACACACACACAGAGAGAGGGAGAGACTTCCATGATATTTCTCACCCACCTGACACATCCCTGACAGATTTCAACAGAAATTCAGCCCTTCTGAAATGTGGCATTGAATTTATATGGATTTCCCAAAAACAGAATCTTAATGACCAAAAGAAGGCTTACCTACTGTCTGAAAGGAGTGAAAAGGGACGAAAGGGGAAAGAAGGGGGAAACAAAAAAAAAAAAAAAATTCAAAACTACAGATCAAAAAAATTGTTTAAAAGATATAGAGGAAAAAGGACTCCTTACAACTGTGCAAACCTAGACCACCAAAACTGCCACCATCAGATAAACAGCACTTAAAACTTTGACAAAATCAGGCTCCACTCTGGCTTTAGGCCTGAAAAAATCCAGAAGTGTTTCTGTCCATCCATCCACTGTGAGAAGACAACTCAACGCTATGGGTCTGAAAGGATGTGTAGCTGTCAAGAAGCAGTTACTGAGAAAAGAAAACAGACTTAAAAAAAAAACAAAAAAAAACAAAAAACAAAAAAAACAAAACAAAACAAACAAAGAAGCTGACTGTGTTTTCAGAACAATGGACACCCACACATCTCAAAAACTAACCTAAAACTCAACATTAGAATAAATAGTAATAAACTTAAATATAGTAAAACGTAACAAGAATTACTTGCTTTCAAAAAAGCAGTTGAATGTAGGCACATTGGAAATTAAGTAAATGAAGGGCAGTCTGACTTCTACATAGAATACACATATTACTTTTTTTCCTTAAGGTACCTCCTGAGTGACTGGCTATGCTCTCCACATCTGAGACTAAGATTTAATGTGTTGCTTCAATGTTGTGGAAACCAATATCATTTGAGCACAGCAACCACATCAAAAGAACTTTACAGTAGGCTCCAACAGTGACATAACTAAAGCAAATGCCAGTGACAGCTTGACCGTACGCTCATACCGAATGTACACTCATCTGTATTAATAGTGACTCACGCTCAGTAAACACCGACAAGCAAGCTCAGAGAGAAAAGCACACGCTTTAACTTCTCAGGCAACTGTATCTGTAGCTACTGATAGAAACAGTTATTATTAAACTAACATAACGACTGATCAAATACTAAAACTAACAACAGCAGGCCATGAACGTCAGCTGTAAAGCAATTTAGCCTTAACAGTTTCCATTACAGTGCTTCCATTACAGAGGGTGAGTAAGCACTTGGTACTCAGTGGCTGACCCCTTTTCCTCATTACTTATGCCTTCTAAATTGAGTTAACGGCTGCAGGTAACCTCAAATCAAAGCCTACCATAAGGCACACTTCCATGTCTCCAGACGTCTCAGCTGACTGCTGCTATAGTGAGTTCTTGTCAACCATAGGTCTCCTATGTCGTATTCAGACTTGAGAGAGAGGAATGCGACCTTGTCATGTGGCCTTGCCTTTCAGAGAGGCCCGCAATCCTCAGTTTGGCCTTCCTTTGCATGAGGAAGTGTACTCACATCAACAAAATTTTTTTGGCACAGTGCAGCCAAGGATGACTAAAAACGTGATCAGAGTGTAAGCATCAGTCACTTCATTTTCATAGTTTCATCAGCAGAAAGATTTCTTTACAGAGGGGCTTTCAATGTCTATAGTAGAAGAGGATTAGGTTAAACACTGATATTAGAAGGGCTTTTAAGATGACTGATGTCTACAGAGTCCTTGTATTATCTGTGAATTCCAATGTAGAAAGCAGGGGTGTGGAGACTCTCCCTATCAAAAGAAAAACATCAGTCGTCACAGAAAGAACCAGAACTATTAGCTATTCTCTCTGTAAACATTCTTTAAAAGAACCTGAGTTTTGGCCAAGGACATGCCTCTTGCTCTTTCTTGAAGCACAATCGTTATTTCCCAACAGATTTCCTGGCTGGCTGGAGTGATAACGCCACTGTTTGTGAGTCTCTAAGCTCATGTGTAGGAGGGGGCACCAAGATTCTGTTCTCAGGAAGAGAACTGGGCCGTTAAAAGACAGCTGAGTCACAGCCTCGTTCTCCCAGATTACGGTGCAACTTCCAGCACTATCTTAGCATGGCAGCTCACTGCAGGAGAGAGACCGGCCCGGACCTGTTTTCCAGTGTGCGTCTGCTCAGTGGGGAACGTGTCCCACTGGATCATGTAATCAAGAGACTGTGCACTTTGTCTGCGAGTTTATTAGAAACAACTAACTTGTATCTATACCTACTGGCCATTTGATCAGGTGCAGCCATCATATGTAGTTTTACAATTAAAGACTGCAGCCAAACTGTTGCTCTCATCAGCCCCACTCTACCCCATATTTCGACTGAACAGTATCTCCATAGGACCACCGCTGACAAGATATTATTTAGATGGTGGATCATCCAATGCATAGAAAATCCAAGTTCTGTTATATATGGTAGGTTGCAAATTACCACAGTAAAGCAACATTACAAGTGTCATAAATATTCATTGCGGGGCAAATTTAGTTACGATCTAAGCGCAGTTACAATGAGTGGGTAAGATGACCCCCCCTTCCTCTTAACTCAGTGTGAAGCTAGCCAATTTAGGCATCTGTTAGCTTCCATAGCAGAGATGACAGTATTCTCCTCCAAGTGTGTTGAGCTGTCCAATGACGCTGCATTAGCAGCAGTTTACTGTTAGAAATGAGCGGGAAAACTTGTAACACTTAACATGATGTCCGTTTAAGGAAAATCCCAGCCTTCAATAAAATGAGCCAATCGACTAGCAGGTTAAGCAGCAAGTGGAAAATGTTCTCCCTCGTTGTCAAGCTATGCAAAGTAGACAGAACAAGCTGAAAAAAACATTTTGTGTGTATGTATGCTAGTTTTAGCAGATTTTACCTGTTATTTCAAATATGTCTTTGAAACATTAATGTGGCTTTTAGTTTAGAGTGTTTGGTCTTGTATGACTAGAAATGACAGCCTGGGGGTGAAGGACCATGAAAGAAGTGTACATGAGTGTTGATTTCTTCACTGCTGCAGGAGAGCAGAAAAGAAAGTTTTATTTCCTTGGCTGCCCAGGCCCTTTCAGTGTTAATTCCAACTTTTTCTTACTCAAGATCTCTTGTTGGATGATAGGAACAGCCAGACATGTATCCTTATGCATATTTAAGTGAGTATGTAGAATTTTTTGTGGTTTCCTATTAAGTATGGAATACATCAACATATCAGATAGAGCACAATTTCAATTAGGATGTCATTACTTGCTTGTACCTTTTCGGTTCTTGGCAGCAGTGAGCAGGAGACTGCTATGATGACACACACGTGACGATCTTACATTAAAATGTGCATGAGCTATTTGTGACCAGTTCAGTGCACAGCGGAACTTCAAACTTTTCTTAAGCTACCTGTTGGGTGTGCTTCATGTACGGAAATATGTCCTTTTTCTAAGAAAGCTATTATATTTCTCTGTCACCTTTCTAAGTTGAAGTAAAAGCAAAACCTAGACAGGAAACCCCCCCCCCGCCCATCAGGTCGCCTCTGTCCTTTGCTCCTCTCATAGGCTGAAAGCACTGAGGTTTCTCGTAAACGGGGGGCCACTAAAGAAGAAAGAGGATATGAGCCCTTCATCACTTTCGCTAATATCAGGAGGCCTGCATGGTGGCTTCCCACTGGGCCATAAATAGGTTAATGAGAATACAACTGCTGATATCATGACAACACTCCACAGGACATTTAGGCATATTCAGAAGAGAACTTGCCTAGTGTGATTAGCTGGTGGGAGCTTACCTTTCACTACAGTACAGAAGACAGAGTTCTTGAGCTCCAGTCAGCATGTCAAGGGCCTCTCTTCTTCATTGCTTAACTGAAGGTTTCACATCCTGCAGAAATGTATAAAAACATCTAAATGAATGAGCATTTTGAATGGATGTTTCACCACGTCACCTTAATAATACAGCTAATTATATTCCTCTTTTTTTATGAATGGACCAAACAGATACAGCAACTCGGGCTCTGAACTCATTGACCTCTTCCTCTACTACAAATGGCACGGGGAATTTGTGCCTCGCACAGGAAATGCAAATTCTGCGTGGCCTCTATTTTTGTCCTTTAAGTGCAGCTTCATTTGACTTCACATTACTGCGCTTTTAATTCTTCACGTTACTCTCTGCTTTCATTGTTCAGCTTCCAGCACAATATTTAAATGTGACAAACTTATATCACAATCATATGAATGACTTCCTAAAGGAAATCTAGACTAAATTATATTGTCAATTATATTGTAAATTATATTTTATATTGTAAATTATATTTTTCATACAATGAAAAAGAACTTGCAGTGTTTTGGAGGAGCATCTGCAAATTTCAGGTATTTTCAGGCATGACTGAGAACTGGTTCCTTACAGCTACCCATTTGCAACTACCCATTTAACAATCCTAATTATCCTGTGTTTGTTAGTGTGCACCACAGCAACACTCACCTGCTAAACACACCACACAAGAGTACTGTATGACTGCATGTGAACATTTCATACAGCACTAGTTCGTGCTTTAACTATTTACAACGGATCTTTAACTATTTAACTACGCTGATATAGGTAAGGCATGCAAGCCCATCTTCGCAGCTGGGTTAGCTGTTCAGCTATCACAAAACTGTCAAAATAAAACAGCACAATCACAATACACAACATACATCCTATTATTCTGTTTTTGATAAGTTCACACAAACACACAAGCAAAACAGTAGTCCTGCATTGAAAAAGGCTATGAAAACATAGCACAATGATGTATTCATTATTAAATGTTTCACATACTGCACATAACATCTCCTAATAATATGGCAAATCCTTAGACAGATAAACATTTTTGCTTTTTGACAAAGCCTGTTGGTGTTCTTTACTGATGACATCCACGATATGCTCAGAAAAAACAACCATGACATAGCCTGCACAGGACAGATTTTAAAGTTCTGCTACTAGTTTTTAAGGCGCAAAATGATCTAGTACCTGCTTGCATCACAGAATGTCTGTCCATGTTCTAGCACATGATCTTAGTATCTCAGGATCTGCAGCTTCAGCCCTTCTGCAAATATTTTCCATAAAATACAGAAAACATGGAGAGGCTTCTTTTAGTTATTATGCTCCTAAACTGGGGAAGTCAATTTCACCTTTTATTAGTCAGTCAAACTCAGTGCACATTTTTACAAAAAATTCTCTCTTTAACTTAGTGTTTAATTATAACTATGTCTCCTACTATTTATCTTTTTAATTTTGTCTGTCATCATCTTATATGATTTTGAATCATATAAGACGGTCACACTCACTAATTTGAGAATGGAAACAAATGTTTCTAGCCTGCATGCAAGACTGTTTCCAATTATTGATGGGCATCTTCCAAAACAAATAAAAGTAACAGGACAGGGACGTTAAATAAACATTTTTTTTTCTTCTTACGGGTGGAGATATACAGTAAACAAAGCTGACTCATAATACTATTCAAATTCGTTAGCATAACGGTAGCATCCCAGTGCTAAACAAACACCACAACGGCTCAAAGTATCTGCACTGTACACATTCAATAGAGACAGACATGAGTCACAACAGTTCTGTTTGGCAGTTTATCAGTGTGGGCCAAGTGTGAGAGCATTAGGGGAAGCCACACTTAAGATTTCCCACAGAAAAATAAACAGTTCACCAGACTCTCTCTTCTGGGGATTCTATAAAACTGACATTATGAGCTATTTTAATGATGTTTGTCTAACAAACAAATAAAAACTACACAAATCCAATCCAATCCAATCCAATCCAATAGCCAAGTGTTTGACAGCAAGGAAGAGCTTCTGACCTAACCTGGTCAGAAATGTTTTTACTGCACTTTTAAAAGGGATGATCATAAAGAGACACCATGATAAAAACAAAACCTCTTCTTTTACAACAAGCACTTGATGAAGAGCATGCCACTCAAATGTATGGATGATGCAGTGGTATTCCTAAACAAATAGGCAAATTCTACAGTTTACTTTACACATTTTCTATCCTTACACAGTCAGCAAAAGACTGTTGACAATGCAGCCAAACCTGCACGTACATATCAGATTTCAACAGTAACAAAACAAGCAACATCCCAAGAATTTTAAAGACACACAACACATTTAACCTGAACAAGATGCTTATATATATAAGTTTATATACATGCACACATACATAGACACACGTCAATGTCTATATAGGCATTTTTTTATTTCATTAGGTTTATTCTTGTTATGTATGAATGACACTGCCTCAACGTTTTTATGATGAAAGTGCTTGCAGGGAATTGGAGCAAGTTATTTATAATGTGTTCACCAAGCAAGAAGTGAACAGGTGAAGCTTGTGTTCAGAGAAGGGAAAGACCAGAGAGTGTTAAGTGTTAATGAACTGGAATAGCTCATGTGTGAAAACTAAACAGCTCTCATACATACAAGTGGCAGACTCTGTTAGTAGTACTGGTAAACAAACACTAGACCACAAGAGCAAGAGTGGGAACCATATTACCAACACATCACTGGCAACCACACATACGTACAAGCACCCAGCTATGCAACCCACTGCCAAAAAAGCCAGACTCTGCCAATGTCACTGAGTAAGGTGAAGAGAGTTCATATGTTGTTTTTAAGACACATACGTTCATAGCAAAGGGGCAGGAAATCACAGAGGCCTTCACCCTCCCACTCAGAATTCTCCCCATAACTCAAAGATTCAGCTGGGGAGCAGCAGATGAGTCAGTGAGAAAGTCATTTCTCCATAAGCTCGTGCTCTCGTGGGAGGTGGCGAGAACTGTCCCTTAATGCAAAACAGAAAAAAAAAAAAAAAAAAAAAAAAAAAAGCGTAGATTCCCCTCCTCATCTCTCTTCATTTCAGCTAAAGTGGAAAATTAAGGGTGGCAAAGCACCAAGATGTAATTTTCCCTGTCTCTACTGAGGATTACATAAAAACAAAGGCAAAAGACATTATTAAAAAAAAAAAAAGACTCCCACAAAAAAAAGTTGGAAACTAAAATGTGGCACAGCACCAACATGTATTTTCTTCAAGCCGGTTTGCATAGTATTACTTCACTCTCTTGAAATAACGCAAGCACATTTCAATAGCGCTATAAAAATTTTACAGGGGTGCACTAAAGAGGGTTATTCAACACTGACCGCTTAAGAACTGCAGTGCGCTGACTGTGGCATAGCACCAGTGAACCAGCCCTGGTGTGCTTTTCGAAGAAAAGTGGCTCAACTTCATTAAAAAGATTCCTGATTAAACGAAGAAACTTTCTCATGGGAATAAAAATGAGCTGTAGCAAAGCCTGTTTTGATCAGAAAGCTGGAAGCACTGCTGATTTTTTTTAAGCAAATTGCTATATACAGGAGAAGGGGCTTCATATGCTGTATGAAAAATGAATGAAGAGACCGTCATACAAGGTCACTAATAAGGGTGAGCGATAAGGCAAAACTACAGCACTGCAATACTTTAAAGAATCATTTCTCAAAATGTCCAATTTTTGTCACAAAATTAGGACAGGCCTGAACAGCATTTTATAGGCTTTGAATACTCGTTGATATATTTGAAGCAATTTTTTTTAGTCGCCCATCTGACTGAACAGAAACACTATGTTAATCAGCGTTTTTCTGTGCATCCATCGAGTAAACTTCATAGAGATCCAGTCTTATCACTTCACTAAACTGTGATTATCTGGTTGGCGTGCTAGTTACAGAGCAGCTCCTGCACTGTACTAATGTTGTGCAGAGCAGATTGTTCTCACAGCAACAAAAACACGTGATTTCATGACAATGAACAGATCTGCTGTCTGTGCTGCCAAGTTTTAAACAGGCTGCAGAACTGTTCATTTAGACAAGAAAGGAAGAAAGAAAAGAGCTAATATTCCCACCTGAAGCGGTTACATGAACGACCTGAATTGGATGCATGGGTATCACTATTTACATATATGAGAAGATTCACCAAACTTGTCATGCCTTTGTGATATAACAGTAACATCATAAATTTGGCACAGAGCATTTTACTTAACATCAGATAATTTAAAGTGCTTTCACATAGGCATCTTTGCTCTTGTAGTTTCAACAGCCACACGGAAAGCAGTGCAGTCTGTTGCGTTCGGAGGCAACGCTGTGTGGATGCCTAGCATGAATTTATGATGTATTCAACTAACCCAGACAAGATTTCATTATTTTTAACATTAAAAAAAAAAATAAAAATAAAAAAATGCCACCCTTAGTCACCAAGAAGCCACTGTTATGAGTTGGCAACTGACTTTAAAGCAACCTTATCCTTTGTACTGCTATCAAAAATATTAAAAATGTGAAAACATTTCTGAAAACAGGAAGTGTGAAAGCCATTTACACCCATGATTTACATATCATTAGCGGTGATATTTTATCAAACTTCAAGAAGAAAAGTAAGACCAGACTGCATGCATCCTGGAGAAATCACAGCTGAACAGGATAGTAGCAGATGTATGTCCACTTACTCACGTATATTATATATAATAGAAGAGTTTTTTCATAATGGCCCTGAACAAAGACATTAAACCTAAAAAATAAATTTTATTAAAAAGGATAAAATATTTAAAGGAGGAATAAGAACAATTAAATTATTGCTAAAAGATCATTCATTTCATTCAAACATTTTCATAATAAAAAAAATACAAATAAATAAAAAATAAAAGGTCAGTGATTTTGGTCATGACTCTTGACCTCACCGAAGCCTCTCTGGCTGAGGCTTAGTCAACAGAGAAACACTTAGTTGCCTGTTTGCTCCATCCAAGCTCCAAGCAGGGCAGAGCAGCAAGACAACTGTTATAACTAAGAATTCAACAATGAGACAGTCTTTAAATAACTGGG